GGCACTGTCTTGTCAAATTGTGTTGATCTCTTAGATCCTTTCTTTGCTTCCAAAGGTCACTTAGTGTCAAGTGTAAATGCAGCCTGACAGACAGGAGCAAAATGGGGCAGCCAAATATCCACATCATCACAGAATCAGAGCAAATATCCTGATTCATTTACTCAATTAATGAAAACTGAGGGTAAATACTGATCAGGAATGACACGTAACCTGGCAGGTTCTGGCGTTCAGACGAGACAGCAATAACCACGTCTGCATCAAAGCATTTCACATACCATGCTATGCCACGGATTGGTAACACCACTGGAAACTGTTGTCATTCAAGGATGACAGAACAAGATATGGATCGTTAAAGAAGTAATGTTTAATCCTCCTCCATTTTGACAAGATATTTCTGCAGTTGTGCACATTTATGTACGTAAGTAGCTTGCGCAATCTTAATCATGCATATTCAATTTTATGCTGATGCTTAAATGCGGACGCAACCAAGAAGGAGACGGAGGGATTCAGCTTCATTAAAAATAAATGATTATCAAGTTATCTTTGAAATTCTATTAAAATTTGCTATGCACTCTACTTATCTGTCACCTGCTTCCCATGAGCGCAATACTCTAATAGAACAACTCCAAAGACAAAAACTCAAGGGAGCACTTGTCCTGTCACATCCAGGCTCTGCCTTGCACTCATTCTTCAGTCTCTGACTGGCATCATCTTTGTTTTATTCATTGCAACGAAGACTCAATATTCTGCTAAAACACAGCCAAGAAAAGTGCCTATTATATATATGATGTGCTGTATTGTATCACAGTAGAACTCATATGCATTTATAAAGTAACTTCAAAGCATACGCCAAAGTACAAATGGTGAGGAAGTATGATAAAAGATTAACAGTCTTCAAACAAGGTCTGTTTTTGCTCATTTTGTTATCCTGCTGCTTTTGCAAGAGGAATGACCAAACGTTTCTTACACGCGGTCTTAAATAAATAGCTGTTGCGTTTCTTTTCCCATAATGCAGTTCCGACTCACAAGAGCCACAAGGACATGAAGTGGCCTGAGGCTTCTGACTGCTCAGCTTCCAATCAGCTCTACGTGACAGAAGAATTAGCACAGGACGGCCATGCTTTTTATATGCGCTTCACATCCAGCAGCGTGTGGCACTAGTGCTAACAAAGACAGACCGGAGCCGCGTTTGCCCTTCCACAGAGAAAGATTTATTATTAGAAAGGACATAAACAGACTAATTAAATCACAGTAGTCAGGCTGAGATGACAGCTGGTGGAGTGTGTGACTAAACAGATCCCTATCAAAGAGCAGAAGCCCCAGCGCACTGAATTCAGCCGTTATAGGGTTTTATTTTAAGAAAGCCACCTTTGAATGAAGTCCTGTTCGGTCAATGAAGGAGATGTAACAGAAGCAGGTTGATTATGGTGGCTTCATATGTGTTCCTTCCTATTAAATGAGCAATATCATGTTTGATAAATGGCTTGGTCTTATTTTTACTGAGATGTCCCTGATGTATTGCATGTCCATGTGTGCCTGTCATGCATACCATATTATAGCCACTTAAAAATTATTTAGCATTCTATCTAACTGTGGACTTACATTCCACATGGCCGACATACCCCTGAGTAATGTGTTCCATCCATATTTCTTAAAAAAAAAATAATAATAATCTGAAGGAAACAGAATATGCATCATCGAACAGAGAATGCATCACAGAGTAGATCCTTTGGAGTACAGCCACATAAAATTAATATAGTCTCAATTATTAATAGAGTCTCATAATCACACTGTAAAACCACATGGCTCAAACGCGGCTCGGGAGAAAATATGATTTTAACAAGTCAATAAGGCAAGAACATTTAGTGCAAACTACTCTGTTAAGGCACCATGTTTGTGAAACAAGATGCAATACAAACAACGCAACTGACACAAACTATTCGGTACGGAAACCCCCTCCGCCCTCCTCCGCCCGGCTAGCCACAGATCTTTTCCATTTAATGTCCTTTCATTATCTGTTGCGTCCTTCTAGCTTGTAATGGTGGCGAGTTTTCCTGAGTTTGTTTAGTCCTGACTTTTTCACCCCAACGGTTTGAAACTGATTCTAGAAACTGTAAGACCGGCTTAACAAAAAAGGATTAATTCCCATATCCAACTGAGAACATAGATAATTCACAGTAATTGGTAAAAAATGAAGATGAATGGGACGGCACGATAAGGACCAATTAGATCCACCATGCTTACAGCTGTGGTCTCAATACAGAATCCTCTCTTGAGTCTAAGCCTCGTCAGACAAAAAATGCCGGGTGGAATTAGCGGGATGACCCTATGAATTGTGGGAAGCATCACTGCCATTGCTCTCTTTCCATTTTAATTCCTACCTCAGACGAGACACCTGTCACGATTCCTGATGTGAACCCCACCTCCCCCCCACCCCATGCAAAGACCCTGGGGTAGGGGGGGTTGCAGGGGGGGGGGTGGTGGTCAGCATTCTTTAAGAGCCACATGAAGATAAACAACGGGTTGACGCAGCCTTAAAAGTTTTCGTCGATCGTTTCATTATGGCAGCATCATCTGCTTGATGATACACGCAATTCCCACATCTAATTACAGGGAGGATTTGAGGTCCATTAACGTTGCTGTGGCAAAGAATCAGAAGTGAAACTACATACAATTGCCAAAAAAGGAGATTTTCCCCCTTGATTCTTTCCTGTGCTCAGGGTCCCAGTTACATTTGCATCCTCTTAAATAGCAATCCCTTTCTCTTGAAACAGCCAGGTGTTTGTTAAAGGGGGTATTTGACAATATTTTTCCTCTTTATAATGAAGGTTCTGGTTCAGGTCAATTTAAAGGAAAGGAATTTATCACAGTTTTATTTCATTCCAAGGCAGAATGTCACACATGTTTTGCTTGGTTTGTGATCTGTAATCATGGTATTTCCTGTGAGTCTAGGGAACAATTCAAAGTGTACATTAAGGAGAACCCAGGCCCTCCTAAAAGCCCAGTTAAAATCCAAGAGAGAGTAAATAACAATCTATTGATTTAATCCAACTGTTCCTCCATCAGGATGTTTTGCTATTGAAATCAAAGTCGGACTGGCTGGTTTGTTTTTTGTTATAATTAATAACAGTGATGCAAACAGGAAAGGGTAATTGTGTTGAATATTTAATGCATTGGGCTATTCAATTTACATCTACACAAAGATAAAAGAAGTTACCCAGGCCCAGTGCAGATTGCCCTTCTCATGTAGCCTCTGTATCTTTACTAAGCTATAAGATAAACACAATACATCTGCTCACAGTTTTTTTTTTCTCATTCTTTTCTTTTTTAATGGAGGTAGACAGATAGCACACTGAAGTGTAATTCCTACATTGTCTTCTCTGTCTAACCAGATACGCGAATGATATATAATACATAAGTAAATTAGTCAGACAGTTATGTGGGTTTTATTTTATTAATCTAATTTATTTTACAACATCAGACATGTTTTAGATGTAATTTGTCTGGAAGCAGCTGTCTAAAGAATTTTTTAAATAGGCATGAACTCATTTCCTGGTAATCAGCACTGAGCATTGTTAACAACAGAGAATACATTCAGTATAGCTACACTGCCAAATAATTCCTAGTGAGTAAAGTCATGGCTATATCTGTCAAGAGATTAAGAGCTCCTAAATATCAGAGGCATAATGTGCTGACCCAGAGGCTCAAACTAGCGAGGAATTCAGATACCAAAACTCAAACGTGCGTGGCAAAGGATGCAGAGATAAATAAAGCAATTAATTACATCATGCTTTGTAACCATTAACACTGCCATTACAGACAATACTCAATGCATTTTTAAGAACAATGGATGCTTGTTTTATGCCTAAGAAATGTGTTCACAACTTGAGGTTACTTTGTGGAGGAAAAAAATAAAACATCTTTCCTTCTATTACAATTGTACGCTACTTTTGAGAAATCTGCCGTCGACTCAAGCCTGCCGAGATTCTTTTTGGCAGTATTTCCACCCTTATCATGTGTATGTCTCCTATCGGCCATCCTGTCACAAGAGACTGCTTGATATAAACAAGAGATTGCCCCGACATCCAGTAATCAATAGCAGGATGGCTTCAGTACCAAACATCATTTGTCTCTGCACCCATTCCTTTGACCAAACGAAGCATTAATTCAAATCATAAATCTAAGGTGATTTGAATCCTGGAATGAGAGACTGCCTGCTCTAATGATTTATTTTGTACATTTCTGCAAGCGAGAGATTTGTCCATACACAGTGACAGGTCACCTTCAAATGCCAGTGGCAGACTGTTTATCACCATGCAGACTAGCATCTCATCGGTGCAAGTAAATATTAAAGTAAAAGAATCCAATTGATTGTGGATGGGGAAGAGAGGCGTCGCTGCCATATATTTTACTCAGAGTGCTAATGCTACTTTCTGCACCTTCAGTGACTGTTACTAGAATTATTATTCTGAAAGGAGGTTGCGTGCTCAAGGTTACAATTTAAATTGTAACAGATAAAACAGTTTCTTATTAGCTTCATTGCCATAGCCAGCTATTCTTATTCACATTTATCTTTATTTCCATGACCTCCTAGCCTCAATTTTGACCTCATTCTTCATGCATTTCCTTTGTTAAATCTGCTTATGACCCATCCTGTTTGCAAAATATGTAAAATACTCCCAGTGACCACTGAATACACCGCAGGCTTTCGGAAAACGACAAGCATGCTGCCTACTGTATCATCAGACCGTGGCACATTATCACACGCTGGGGAAAATGCGTATTTAAATACTTCTTGATGAAAGGGGTGATGATATGGATCTTTTAAAAATGAGCACGTTCAAAACATGACGTCGAAAAAAACCCCTATATTTATATATTCAAAGGCACATACAGTCAGCATGAGCCCTACTCAGAATTGACTTGTCATCATTAGATGCCAGCCATTGGTAACTAAAAAAGGGTTTTGTGTAAGTTTGCTGTGCTTTGCGGGGACTCACCAGCGCTGGAGCTGAGGTCCCCGTTCTCTGGGTCGGCCCCGTGTTGGGTGCTGCTGTGGTAGCTGCTCATGACCTCCAGCTTGATCTTCTTCGCTTTCATGGCCTCGGCGATGGCGGCGTTGGTGGCGGCTGCTGCGGCCGCTGCGGCCGCTGTGAGGCCTGAGAGGCCACGGACATAACAACGCATCAGTCAGGTTTGATGAGGGGCCGCCATGGGCTTCCTGGCAAGTTCTCCTCATTCAATCAAGCCATAAAGCCTATATGACTTTTTAATGATCTTCTTAACAGCATATCTTCCTACTTCTTTGCTTTCCCATGAACGCAGCTCGGACTTTGAAGTCCGGATAAAAACAATAGTTCCGCGACGTGAAAAAGCTACGTTGCGTACCGCTAATGGGTAATGAGCTCAAAGTTTTTCTCAGTATGCTCCCCGATACCGCACTGTTTTTGAGCTAACAGATGGAGTCAAACATATACATGTGAACCGACGTGCTCCTACAAAGCGTGTTTGCAAAATAAACGCCACACGTGTCACGGCGAGAGCGTGTGTCACGTCCCAGAGCGCAACAGCACCAAACGGGGCTTTTTCAAGAAGTATATACACTGCAATTAAACTGTAATTCAATATAATGTTTATGAACCACTTTTCTATGTTCTACATTCTCCCATATAACTGAATAAAAAAAGGAACTATACTTCACCATTTATGGCCTCCGTAGATTTAATGAGCAGGCACTTTGGTATTAGGTTTAGTTAAAAGTCTGGCTTCAGGCATATGGTGGGTGTATCATATAGAAAAAGCTCTAACTTCAATATAATGTAAATATACCTGGCAGGGTAACATATAGTGAAGCTACAGTCTTTAAACTCCAGATAGGAGCTAAGGGGTAAATGGGATCCCTTTTCAGATCGCTTTTCAGGACGTTCAGTCACTAACTACATTGCCTTCAGTAGTTTGGTAGTCATTCCGGTAGGCTGGCTAACGCCCCCCCCCCCCCTCCCCCCCGCAGCCATTATATTAACCACAATGAGTAAAAGAGAGAATGAAAGGCTGCTCTTGCAGATGTCATAGATGTGTCAGAGGAGGAAACAGGCGATAAAATGGAGAGGAGGATTGATTTACTCTGTAAAAAATGGGCCTCAGAACCAAGTCAGTTACATTTCTCTGACCTTCAGCATCCTAGATGCCATTTAACTCTTTCTGAGATGATTTAAACAAGAAAGAGCTCTCTCTCTCTCCCTCTATACACACACACACACACACACACACAATACCGTTCCTATGCAACTGATTAGTAGTGAAATCTTTAAATAATTGAAAATACGTGAACAAGAATTTTTTTTATCACACACATACCTGTATAAAGCTAATCCAGTGCTAAAATATAAGAAAGGTGCATTATTATTCAGCTATTCTAGCTACATGTTTTTGGTGAGTGATATTCTGCAAATAACTGAGGATTTCCAGAGTCACTAAGGAATGCAACTAATCTGGCCTACAATTATTTTTTATTACTTTAGAGATTCTCAGTGTTTGGATAAAGTACAAGATTTCTTTGAAGGCAGAACACGAAATGCAATGGGAAATGTAAACACCAAAAAAAAAAAAAGAAAAAAAGAAACTGATTATTACAAGGAACAAGGGAATTTGTAAATATCTCATGGCTGCCACAAACAGTTTAGTGACACAGCTCAGAGAAAGCTATTAGCTAGCTATATCCGGACTAAAAAAAACATGTGGCATTAATATGCAATCCCAGTTCCTAACCTATTCATAGACAGCTGACATGAAGTGTGTTCTGCAACTGCGAAGGAGGCCTTGTATACATCATAACAAAGTGAACACACTTGTTTGGGGCCTGGTTCTGTTTCATATGTATGCAGAAAACACACCGCTGCCTCAATGAAGGTTACACTTCTCAACGTAATGAATGCAGTCTACTCTCAGCGAAGGTCGCAATTCATTTCCGTATAACGGCTAAGAGTCAATTGTTTTGTAAATGAGATGTATGCAAAACAGGAACCATATGCTAATAAACATGACTGATGTTCATGTAATTATTCTCAAAGAATTTTATATAAATATATAAGTTTGTTGTATTTATGTGATACATTCAAATCAGATTGCGAGTTCTGTGTTGAAGATGCATCTGTCTTCAGCCACTTATCCTGAACAGGGAGCCAGGAGTCTATCCCAGTCAGATCAGGGCATAAGGCAAGAGTAGATGCTGGATAGGTTGCAGGAGTATATGTGCTAGAGGTAATTTAAAATGCCCCACTAGCCTAGCTGCGTTTGGATTGCAGGAGTAAAGCAGAGTACCCAAAGGAATTCTCCACCACACAGGGTGGGTGGGCACCCAGCTCCACCCATAGAGCAAAGGACAGCCAATGGGGCTACTAGCCAATGGGGCTATTAGCCAATGGGGCTACTAGCCAATGAGGCTACTAGCCAATGGGGTTATCCACTGAGCCACCAAATTATAGACTCAACGATGAGTTACCTTGTAGATGTTTCTCTAAAAAGATCAACAGACACAAACAGAACCAAATTCTGACAGATATCTGGAAGTGACTGAAATACACTTGAAGTACTGGCCAAGAGTTTTTTGGTTTGAATCTTTTGTACCGACTGTTCTGACAATTAGCTGTAATAATATGAACAACACTGTTAACAGGTGCTGTTATTTTCCCTATATTCCCATTGCCGTATGAGCATCTGGCCCTCATCAAGAAATTTCTGCCTGTTCAACATTCATTTTGGTATAATTATTTCAGGCAATATTACAGATTTTTTTTCTCTTTAATTTTCATTCTCTTATGAACATTACCCCAATATATTGGGAATAAAAGCCATTTACCATTATTTTCCAAGCTGTATTTTCTGGTAAATTCTGGGTATTCTGCCAGATAGCACTTGAACTGTGTTGTCCATTGACCTCTGAAATCCATCCAAAAGTCCAATCAATTGTCCAGACAAATGACTAAATAATGGCATTTCCAGAAGCAATTCATAGATGATTAGAAATGGCATCTTACATATGGTAGGTGGCATGATTGCCTGGTGAGAGCCCTGCTGTCTCACACCTCCTGGGTTGGGGATTTGAGTCCTACTTCTCCTGTGTTTGTGAAGTTTGCATTTTTGCCCACGTACCACAGCTTCCTCCTGCAGATAAGAAGCTAACCAATGTCTCAAATTTTCTCACTGTATGTGGACTGCGATGGACTGTCATCTGTGCCCTGCGGCCTTTGCTCCTTGGGACTCTTTGCAGGATAACTGGTTGGAAGATGGATCACCAACGAGATCCGCTCCATAAGTCTGTCTTTATGTTGAATTTGTAGGTAAGTCGAAAAAATAATAATACAGTACATAATAATAACAGTAACAATACAGTAATAATGAAAGTAACTCGGGTTGAAGAACCGTGGAATGTTTACGCAAGCATCACAAATTAGTATGTGCGTTACTTATTACGAACTATTGTATTTAACCTGAATTTTTCAAATAATAGGCTCTATGGCAGTCTATTTGTTAGTATGAGTTGTCCGTAAGTTGGACATTCTTAACCCGGATGTATATTAATTTTGATTTATCCTGTAGTGTAAATACCACAAACATGTTCATATCTGGGATGTTGTGCAAAAAGCCATAGAGTGTGATCAGTACATTCGGTAAGTATTGGTCAGTATAAGCCGTTATAATGCATTATGAAGGTATTTATAATGCATTACAGATGAGAGCTTCATACAGCATTCATAATGCATAATAAACATGGCTATAATGTGTTACGCCTTTTTGTGAATAGTTATAGCTGTGCAATGCATTACGAAGGAATCTATAATGCATCATACTTTATGTAGTGCTTTATGTAAAGTGTTACTGAACATTATTACTTTGTAAAATTTCTTGTCTAGATAATGCAATATTGGATCTTAGAAATGACAACATTTTTGAACAGCAGATTTGGTGAGGGAGTTTCACTTAGCCGTGATGTTGCAATCAATACCCTCAATGTCCTGTAATACCTCTTTGGCTGTTCTACAATGAGCGTTGAGCGTCTTGCTGTCTTTTGCCTTAGGTAGCAAGCATTACAAATACAGCGACAGTTAAATAAGCTAACTGCTTTCTAACAGCTCTTGCTTTTTCTTATTTAATGTTTCAATGCATATTCAAGTGTATGGAGTTATATAAATGCGATGAAAATCATCATTTACATGGCCAGCATAGTTTCTGGGGCAAATGATTAATATACATTTAGAAAATCCAACAAGCTTGGCATCTAAACTAGAAAACACCGGCCTAGACCTGCGTGAACCTTAAACGGTTAGTCTTAATGTAATTTCCAGTAATCTGGGCACGTGTTGGCGTGCTTCTAGAAAGATTAAAAGAGTGGTTATCGTGTTTATTAGAAGTGTTTAGTGCCAAACACTGAAATATTTTGGGAAGACAAGGCGATTAATCTGACCAAAATAGTGGTAGACTTTCAAAGTTAAAGATATTGAATTACAGTTTAATTTAAGTCGAATAACAGGTATCAGATGAAATGTATGTCAAAGACATACAGAAAAGAAGACACGTATGACACAGGACCGCTGAGCGATCACACTAAATATGGCAGCATTGTAAAGCCTGAGAAAAATATAGCGCAGCGTTGCCGTTTGATTCACTTATTAGGATTCCTTGCTCATAGTGCCTGTGCATTGGCCAGATCAATAGAACCTTGACTTGCTCTGTTCGTTAGATCCACACCCTATTTAGCACTGATTCTTAGAAGAAAGGAGAATAGTGCAGCTACAGATATAAATGAAATGGGGAAGCCCCAGGCTATGTCCTATTTCCCTCCTTTGCAATGCAGTTTTGTTTCAACTGTTATGCAGTTATGTTCACTTTATTTTTACGCCGTAACTATATCCCCTCTTCTTTACCACAAATGGATGTCTGATGGTTAAAAACTGCGCAAATAATGTTTCAGCGGCACGTTGAGGCAATCTGTTCTCCCATGAAGCACTCAGTTGAGCACAATGTACCCTGGCGAGCTTGAGATTTTCATGGTATATTTGTCCTGTTTGATGGATCAGACCAGAAAGGATGGTAGGAATCAGAATAAACTCATTGTAAGTCATTGTTCCATACCACTATATACATGTGTCTATTAAGATGA